TGTTATTATGATAATGCTTATAATTAATTTTAAATACATATAATTATGGTAGTGTACTAAACAGATATATTTTTAATTTAGTCTTAAATTTATTTTTATTTTTCTCTTAGGTATGTTAATTCTTATCCACCAGTACTACTGTGCCTTACTCACTATGGTCTTTAGTGCCCATTGACCTTTAGAAACGAACCGGAATTGTTTTCATATCTTTCTTTTGGCAATAATAGTTGGCTGTCTTGTTAATCAAGTGTCAGACTGTTTGGAAAGTCAATAAAAGTGAAAATAACATAAATGTTAAGTTATTGTATGGAGTCTTAAGTGTTCTTAGTGGGATGATCTTTGCAATATCTTTTAATACATCTCAGCCTATCTGCGTGGAATCACAGCCGCAATGTTACATTATGTAACACAACAAATAATCTGGCCTACAAGCCACGTATAATTAAGATGAATCGATAGACTCGCCATTTGTCAAAGTCGATTCGCTAAGAGCGATAGGACTGTGAAACAAAAAGCCTATTCCGTGATCAAGATCAGCTTTCATCTATACAACCTTAGTTAAACACAATATTAAACTTTTTACTCTCCAAATGGGTAAGTTGGAGACATACTGGACAATCACCTAGTTTTTATCAGCTATGGGGTTTGATGTAGTAACACAAGCTTCTTGGGGCATAATTTCAGGATCTGTAATATTATTGAAGTTAAAAAATTCAATAATACCTACTTTAGTCGAGTTGTCGAGTCCGAAACCCCTTAGTTGCAGTCACACATCCTCTCAAATAAACAAGTAGTTTAATCACTATCAGTTACATTCGCAGTACGGTATAAAACGATATTGACATTGCTTTTATAATTATTATCGTGAGGCATACTAAATTAATTAAAAATCGCGTGTTACTCACGTGAATAGACAATATATAGAAAAGCTCTACTAGTTTCGAGCCTGCAGCCTGCTTCACTCAGGAAGAGGAAGAAAAGAGACCCTCTGTGGCTCGAAACTAGTAGAGCTTTTCTCAGTATATTCACTTAAGTAACCCACGATTTTTAGTTAATTTGATAATGACACCCTCAATACTCCGCTTTTAATATAAAAGAGTTAAACATTAATATTTTCATCCTATTACTAATAAATCTTGTTTGCTGAAATTCTTATACAAAGTACATTTCAGCCTGTTTACATTTATTTTGAAATGTTGTTTCAAAAACATCTGGGAAACGGTGAAATGAGAGCTTAGCAAAAAAATATGAAATCAAAAAAGTTTCTAGCCTCTTAAGCGTATTAAGTTTTTGGATGTCCTGGACTGAAAATGAAAATGAAAAATTGGCTAATCGGTCATGGGTGATGTAAACACAATGTCTCAGTATGGATTCTTGGGTTAAGAACTTGTAATTAAGGACCAAACAATTATTCCTCTTTGGTAATAAATTTACTCTGCACAACTATAAAACTCAAAACAAGATATAGAACTACTGTAACCCCTTCAAAGAACACAGAACAGGCATTGATTTCCATGTTAACAAAACTTGTTTTATCTTCCATCTGCTCTTTAACAATGTACCTAAAGTACAAACGGAATTGGAACGTCAAACGTCACTTCCGAACAAATATTGAAATACGAATGGCGATAATTTTTAATCAAACATTTATTTTTTCCACATAAATTTCCTTTTGATTAACGAGCATCAAATATTGGGGTCGTTTTTGACAGATTTTTTATTTGCCCAAGGAGTCTTGTTTGTTGTTTTGCAAAAAGTTGAAATCTCGCTTCGAATTAGGGTCAGTGAAAATTAAGGGCTTATCTGTGATGATTTTTAGTAATAACATAAATTGAATTCAATATCTGGTAATAGAAAGTCCAAATATCATTGCTTTTTCTGATTGAGAAGTCTAAAGTACCCACACAAAACTGAACTACATCATTAATGAACACTAAACTTTGTATTATGCTGATTTATATGGAATTCTATCAAGTCCTTAACAGGGATAATAAACCAATTCATACTTACATGAAGACACATATTGGTGTTTTAAATTAATAAAATCTAATTCACAATATTCTCCCTTGCAGGTTATCAATAAACAGAGTGACGGTCCCTTCACGGCCTACGATGAGAAGGTCTTCTCATCCTACCTTCAGTTCTGCGGCATTGGCCTTCGGAATGCACAGCTTTACGAGAGATCCCAATTGGAGGTGAAAAGAAACCAGGTCCTATTGGACCTCGCCCGAATGGTGTTTGAAGAACAGAGTACTATTGAGCACATGGTTTTAAGGATACTTACGCATACGCAAAGTCTCATCAGATGTCAACGAGTACAGGTAAGGAAATTACTGAGACATGTTTTTCTATAGCGGTTACTCAATCTTCTGCAGACAGGTCTGTCTTAATTACCTATAGATTTATTTGCAGAACATTTCTATGGCATTATATCTTCAAGGCAAGTCTATTTTCCAACATGTTTTTGAGCTTTAAGTATATTGGTTTTGAGATATTGAGTCTCTATAACGCAGTTTCTTTCCTACGCGCTACGGTCGCCATAGCAGATACCAAAAGTTTTATATGTCACGTCTTGTGGAACATTTCTTACAGGATTGGTAGTGACAAATATGTCACTTTACTTTTAACTACTCATTCCTTCTCTATACGTTACTTCGGTAACTTACTCAAAGTTAAGCTCCCCTCGATGCACACGCTTCGAAGGCTACAGGTAACGTACCAGATAATACATGGTACAACTTCCAAATGCCATTTATCTTGTTAGTCCAAATGGAAACTTGGGCGGTATCACCCTATCCGAAAAAACTTTGTAATCTGAACCAGGAAAAACGAGTGAAATCCTCAACTTATCACGATTCTTTACATCTTTGTTTAGTAAAGAGACATCTAAATTGTAAAATAGTTCTAGTTTCCTGAAGCCCAAACTCAAAACTTCTTCATTAGTACCCGTCTTTGTTTCAACTAATACTATCAAAGACATCATCGCGATTATTTCAATTAGGGCATTAATATATTGAATTAATTTAATTATCCCTTTGAAGATAGCATGTTTCTTAGTCGTATTTATTATTTCCATAACGTTCCATATTTTATTATTGAAATCGAATTTCAATATCGAAATAAGTTTTGATAAATTGATTCATTCAATCAACGAACAATTTGGGCCGACTCACTTTTAATATCAATTTCAATATAATTCGAAATGCTTTGAGACGAGAAAATTAATTTTGCTTGTTTTCCTAATGAAACGTCGGCGCTGAGACGTTTTGTTTACCATTAGTGTTAGTGTTGTACCTAAGAATTGTTCAAGTGCTCTAAATGGTGAAAGTTTGAATATTATTATTTCGATTTAATGCTTCGGCTGTACGCAACTATCTTCTGTGATTGAACTTTGCGCTTTAATTCTACAACTCTAACTATAAACTTATTTAACAAAAGCGTGCGAATATTCTTGTGTGTTTGTTCAACCGTGTGTACTTTACAAAGTCTAGGTCTAGCCATTTTAATTGGAAATTTTGTTCCAAAATCACAATGTGTTGTATGAATGAAAATTAATCCGCTTTCGGGTCCAATGAATTGAGAAGCTTTGTGAATAAATGACAAAAAGGGAGAAAGGTGTTAAATTTACATCTGAGTAATTAACATTCATATTCTTGTTTATTATTCAACGGTTGGTCAAATATTCCAATTTCGTTTATTAGTTAATGGATTGCGGGCTGAAGTTTGATGGTTGGGGAATAATAACAGTTATTCGACATTAACGTTATTATGGACAAAATGTTCTGAAAATATATTATCGTTATATTTTAAAAACGAAAAATTACAGTATTTAGTATCTTCGTAATTATAACGACTATAGCATTCAGTCATATTTTATGTTTGCCGTGAGTCTATTTTGTAAATGGGTACAAGTGCAAAAACGTGATTTGTTTTACTATTTTATAGTACGTAGCCTTTCGATACGGAGGAGGACTTAACGGGTTGCCGGGGCTCCGGCTCGAAGTGCAGGAGTAGGAACGGGGTGGTTTTAGTCAGTAAGAGTCTGAAACTCCCAGGCGGGATAAGTCATTGAATTTTCCCACCTCAAAAACAAAGCCTTTAGTCGTCCTAAAAGAGTTTCATGTTACAAAAAGAAATAAAACCGTAGGTATGAGTTTTACAAACTGACCTTATAAACTTTCAACAGTTTTTTATCATTACTTTACCTAAAAAGTACTGAATTGATTTCAATGTTTGGCATTCACGTGGGATATGTATAAATACAACAAGATTATTTATATCCAGGTTACTTAGGCGGATTCGTGGGCGTAGTTAGTTAAGCACAATTACAATAATTATAATTCTGTGTACATCCACAAAACGGATCAAATGGCTTTCATACGAAAACATTATATCAAAAACATATTGTACGTAAAAGCTGTAATAATTCTTTGGTTATTTATAGATTGTCCAAAGATTATTAACGCCCCGTTGTCTGTGGTGTAAGGGAATCCTCGATTTGGCGCGCTCTGGGAAAATACGTAGATATAGTTCGATATTTGTGATTTAAAAAGTATAGGTCTAGGTATTATGGTTCTTATTACCAATGAAATGTAAGATGATTTATAATATTTCGCAAAAGAATAGATATCATAACAGTTTTTTCATGCTTTACAATCGCATTTATGAATTTTGAATCTTAACCAACCAAGATCTAGTTTCATTTTCATTTAAACAATATGTTGTTTATCTTACATTTTAGACACCAATCTATTCTGTTCTACTAATATGTATATGAAAAAATCGAAATCGACCGTGAAATAAGAACCAACTGAACTCACTCTGAGTTACTTTTCAATTGAGATAGTTCAAGAACTTTGCAGAACAACTATAGTTATGAACACCATCAATAATATCTTGAACAATAGTAGGTACCACCTGTTTCTATCACGGATTAAGGGCTTTACGGTTAATAAACCGTTCCTAATAAGGTACACAAGATATTCGATATCGAGCTATGACTAATAATCTTACATACAGGGAACGCCAATCATAACTAACTCGATATCAATTGTTCTAGGACTGTCTTTGTTTAGTAAATCAATTTCTGTATCAAACGAGGCATCCATTGTTGTCTTATAGGGATGGGATCGTGCGAGTGAGCACGGATCGTAATGTTATCAATTTATGATAGAACAATATGCTGTTATCTTCTCATTATGACGTAACACAAAATTAATGTTATGTCTATCTGTTTAATGGATGCCTCGTCCTGTTTCGTTTTGTGATCGTTGATATTGGATCTTTTGAATCGAATTGTTTTGTTTTCCTATTGAATATTTGGTGTTGTATCTAATTTTAATTCACTGAATTCATATTTTGTTCATTACATACATAACATCACGCCTTTTATCCCCGAAGGGGTAGGCAGAGGTGCACATTATGCCACTGTACAATGTAACACCCACTTTTCACTATTTATTTTATGAGTCCCTTGTAATAGGGGGTGAGCCTATTGCCATATACCGGGCACAATTCCAGACTCCGTGCTACTACTAAGATTTTTTTTAAATCCCAATAATACTTTGCCCGACCCGGGAATCGAACCCGAGACCCCTTGCCCGGCAGTCGCACTTGCGAGTCTTGCGACCACTCGGTCAACGAGGCATTTTGTTCATTAGTACTAAC